GAGTTTTGCACACTAGATTGACTGACTTCCTAGAATCCAACTCTCTGCTCAAGGTGTTTTAGACCAGATTCAGCGCTGGTCACTTTTTCAAAACTGCCTTGGCCAAAGTATCCAATTGCTGCTAAATCCAGTGGTCGCTACTTTCTCCTAAATCTCCCTGATCTTTGTGTTGCTTTCAACACTGTTGATCATCAACAACATCTTCTCATCCTCAGTAATCTCTGTCTACGAGACTCTGCACTTTCCTGGCTTTCATCCTACTGCTCCCAATGCTTATTCAGTGTTTCTTTTTCTCACTTTTCCTCTCCTCCACACCCCCTCTCTGTCAGTGGTCCTCAAGGTTCTGTCCTTGGTTCCTTACTTTTCCCAATCTGTACTGCCTCCCTTGGTAAACTCATCAGCTCTTTTGGCTTCCAATATCATTTCTATGCAGATGACTCGTAAATCTGTCCTCTCCTGATCTCTCACTATCCCTCTTGACTTGTGTCTGACTGCCTCTCTGCTATTTCCAACTGGATGGCTGCTCATGTTCTTAAACTTAAACTGTCCAAAACAGAGCTTCTCATCTTTCCTCCCTCAATTGTTGCTTCTCCTGTCTCTGTCTCCCTCCAAGTCATTGGCACTACCATCAGCTCTACCTCGGAGGTAGGCTGACTAGGTGTTCATTTTGACTCAGACCGACCTTTCCTTCACTACTCAAGTCCAGTCATTTACCAAATCTTGCTGCTTCTATTTCAAAAACATAGTTTGAGTCCATCCCTATGTAATGAAGAATGAGGAAAAGGTGCTGGTCCATGTCGCTATCATCTCTCACCTTGACAACTGCAAACTGCTTCTCGGCGGTCTTACACATTCCCAGCTAGCCCCATTAAATCTATAATAAATGCAGCTGCAAGGCTCATCTTCCTGTCTAATGTAAGTTTAACTTTCTGGTGCTTGCTTACAAATATTTGCATAATGTTGCTCCTACCTATCAATCCTCACTGATACACAAGTATGTGCCATCCTGGGCCCTATGCCCTGCTCAAGATATGCATCTATTACCTGTTCATGTTCTGACGCCCACCTTCAAGGCTTCTCTAGGGCTGCACTGATACTATGGAACTCCTTTCCCTGCTCCATTAGACTCTCACCCAGTCTCAGTTGATTCAAAAGATCATTAAAAACTCACTTATTTAAGAAAGCATATCATTAAACTGCTTCCTTTCCTGCAATCGTGACATCCAAAAATTAACCCTTCACTGTTCTAGCAACCTACTCTTCCCATACATGAAATACATCCTACCCTTACCTCTTGTGCCACTTTACTCCACTCGCTCTTGAATCTAAGCTTGTCTGAGCAGTACCGTCAACATATATGTTCCTGTGCAAATGCATGTCTGTTAGTCTACTCATTGTACAGTGGTATGGAATTTGTTGGCGCTTTATGAATAATGATAATGAAAATAATAATAATAATAGAGACTCTCCTAAAATGTAGGCACCAATAAGAATCTAGTCTAGATTCCAAATATACACAGACAAAATTGAATTAGGGGCATACCCAGAACATGCATTTTTTTAGAAGTGGTGCTCCTGTAAAGACCAGATTTATAAAAAAGACAGATTAAGGAACAGCACACACAAAAATTACAGTTTTAAATTTTACAAGGCTATCATCTATCTCCTATAATCCTAATTTTAGCATCGGAGACAAGCATGCTACTTGCAATACTGCACGGTAAAGCTATTCAAAGAGTTGCAATTGATCTTTACACAAAACCAACTCTTAAGCTTTAAGAAGGATGTGATCTATTTTAGTGATAGACCTTATGTCTAATGATTATTCAATTCTTTCAGTGTGTCAAAGGCCGCAGCAAGATCTGCAACCACCATTAGAAATTAACTCTACATAACTTTTCGAATAATATAAACACCTGCCTTAAAATAAAATATAAAAATACTACTGTAAAAAAATGCTTTAAACATAAATGCATTTATCATATATGTATTCTTGCACTTTCAAATGTTTATGCCACCCATGACCTTTACAATGAATTATAACACATCAAGATGTGCAGTATACATTTTAGGTTAATCACTAAAAAAGTAATTCTGGAGAATTAACACATTTTGGGCCACAATTGCCAAGATGTAAACTAGATGAACTTTATAAATTATGCACTTTGTGTTTTTACCCTAGGATTTAAAACTTCCAAATACTAGTTGAGTGCTCAACTTGTTGATTCTACAAGTTTCCCGATAGTTATATCTTGGTATCTAGTCTGGATGGATAAACCCTCTTTATTGTGCACTTACTCTGCATTCTAATTGTCACTATTTCCACATAATTTAAATTTATAGAGCTTTTCTTTTTTTCCTTTGGTTTGTTAAATCTATTCTCGAATTTGTTATCACATTTGGTTCTAAAATAAGCAATTCCTTAGTTTATGTCTAGTTAAAAAAAAGATACATCAAGTAATGAAGTTTTTGAACAAAGAGGCTATCTTAGATATTTTCCTTTAATTCAGAAAGTTGCAAAATTAAGCTGGAGGCAGGGGACATCCTAAAATAGTGGGTGCCTTTTTCTTGGCATGAAGAGTTACAAGAAAAAAAACCTTTAATATGGTTCCCTGAGATTGAATTTTAGGAACAAACGATCTTTTGCTATCAAGTAACCAGAACTGCTGCATAAAGTAACAACCAGAATGTCTAAAATATACTTTAATTGGCTAGATAAATCCTTAAGTGTGAATGACAGATTTCATGTTTCGTAGAAACAGCTGACTGTCTAGGTAAAATAAGCCAGCGTGCTACTGATTTTATGCTTGAGAAAGCAGAGGTTTTCCCTGTCACTATAAAGCATGTATCTTCTTACAACTTGTAGTCTATGGGCCTGATTTACTAGAAATTAGGGATCCATCAGATTGATGGGCAGGAGGCAATGTGCTCTGTTGGCGCCTTGAAATTTCTTGCATCCGTCACTGGATCATGATTTACTAAAATGGATTCAGGGTTTGAAGTAAAGCACAACTCAAACCACATATCAATAATTAATTGACCATTTTAAGTGCAGCTCAAAATAGACCACACAGCTGTGTTGACAAAACCATTGAAGAATATTAGCATTACTAGTAGATTAGTCTTAAAAAAATAAAAGTATACTCACATCCCAATCAGTGTTGAGCACTGTATAACCCATACTGCTGATATTGGTAATAACTTTATATGATTTAACTGCTTGTCTAATCTATCACTATACAATGTAATAAAATGTAAATAATAAATGTATTAAAACAAACTTATTTTGACAGGAATAACTGTTTGAAAGATGTATGTTATACTTTGCTTAAATGAAAGAAAACAAAAGTTTAAGTTATATAAAATTAGGCTCAATACACTGTTTATACTTATTTAACATCATGTATTTTAAATAATATGTAAGCAAATTAAACAAAAACGTGTAAACCAATTCTTATATCAAAGCTGAGGCTAGTGAGAATTGTGGTTCACACATTAACATATATGTTTATTAAAATCTATCTATCTATCTATCTATCTATCATTATTATTATTGTTATTGGCATTTATATAGTGCCAACTTATTCCACAGCGCTTCACAATATTATAAAAGGGGAAATTTAACAATAAATGAGCTCATTACAAAATGTTATAGGAACAATGTGTTGATGAGGATCCTGCTCAAACACGCTTTTTCTCTATCTATCTATCTATCTATCTATCTATCTATCTATCTATCTGTCTATAGTCTATCTATCTATCTATCTATCTATCAATCTATCTATCTATCTTTCATCGTTGCATTATAATTTTGCAAAGATGTTGCATAAATAAAACATGTTTAAATGTTACCTTTACAGTCTAATAAGAAATCATTTATTCTCTTGTTTTATGTATTAGGTATCATTCTTATTACAAAATATATTGTATTAGTCAGAGATAATTGTTCTGCATGTATCTGATGAGATGTGAAAACGGTAATTGGAAAAAAAAATACTGTTTTATTTACACTGTTCATTCATTTAAAAATTATATACTTGCCACTAGGTGGCTTTTTCTGATCAGCTCATTTTACCATTTTAATTACATTTTTAATATCCTTGGCTGCATAAACAAAGATAAATTACAGACCTCGTTCAATCTGGCTGCTTGCTCAGGCGCAATCTGTTATAATATCAGCTTTTGTTTGTGCCTCTTCTAATTAGATTCTGAAATCTAGGCTCCAGCAATCAATAATTTTAATTTCAGAATCGCCTTTTGATCTTACATTTCATGTTTGTTTGCTGCAAATGATCAGCAGAACAAAGCTGATAATTTATTCAGAAAAAAAATTCTCTGCGGAGCTGGAAGAGTGTTCTTAACCATCAAGAGAAGCCCGCAGACTTAGTTTGACACAGGTCCAATTAGCATGCAGATATGTGTCGACTCATTGCCAATTCAAATTGCTTTTTTATAATGTACCTCAAATTGTGCTACTCAAACAGTGTATTTGATTTCCAAAACCCCCATGGGCATGCCATAATATATCCCTTCATCCTTGGTATGAAACATTTATTGAACAATCTCTTTCAGATGTTCCTTCTTGCTTATTTTTTTGTGTATGTTTAATTTATTTTATTTTCTTAAATACCCAAACACTGTAACGCAGGGATCAGCTTTTGTCTCTAAAGACAGCAACCAGTTGTTCTATGGTATCGCCTTTGCCACATTTGCATGTAGCAATGATATGTTACCTTGCATATCTCTGCTCATACTGTGGCTGTTCTATAGCGGTCTTCATTCTAGTGCCACTCATACAAGAAAGGGGGAGGATGTCTACTCAGCATGCTTTTAATATGCGGCACATAACAACGTTCTGAATGCCAGTCTTCAGCTCTTCATTACACAAAATGGCTGGATTGCAGTGAATGTTTTTTTATCTTCATACACATTCTCATAGCCATAAGGCATTCTCTGTTTCAAGATAGGGGTGACTTATGTATCTGAAGTTATCTGTGGCAGGCATGATGCATAAGGGAATTCCTGTCAACATGAAGGCCCCCCTTTTTTTTTCTCTTTTTTTTTTGCCATACAGCAACAAGTGGTAAAATCAATGGAGTACAGTTATTCAGCATTGTAATTCATTTCCCTAGCTTTGGCTTGTAGCCAGATCCGCCATCTGTCTCTCGCTCTGCTTTCTCCTCTCACTCGCTTGAATTTGTCCTACATTTCGTAATGATACGTGCCTGCCATCCTTATTGCACGACAGAGGTACTGTACCATTCTCCCCCATTTCCAATGTGGGGTTCTGTGAGTTCAGTGGCACGTTGGATACTCCATTTCCATGCCACAGGGCAGGACAGAGTAAGCAAGGAAACAAAAGACAAATTGCAAAGGAAGATTCTACGTATATTTCATTACTACTGCTGAGCTTTTTTTTTTTTGTTTAAAGCATTAAGATGGATCTGTCTCACAAGGGACCATTTCCTGCTTCATTAGAGTATCTTCGTTTTCCTTATCGGAGGCTGGCACCATACACCACTGCACAGTTCATGGAGTGCCTGCTGTTGGATACTTGTATATCCTTGCCACCAAGAAACCTCATGCAATGGAAACAGGGTGACTACTTCAGAATCTTATGTGTGCTTGCTGTTTGAAGCTGCAGAAAAGTGAATAATCAATTAAGTATTGATTTCTTGTACGATTTGGTAAATTTCAAAGGCAAGACAAAGAGGATGGCTTAAAGGAAAGCACTGCAGGGACTTGGCGTAAATTAAACAACTAACAGCAGTGCAGAATAAAATAACACCTCAACTGAATATTTCCTTGGAAGAATTAGTACCAGCTATTGGAAGACAATGGTGGATTTAATCACAACGGAAAGCACCCGAGCATCTTAACTATGAGACTGGAAAAGGGAGCTAATTATAACCACCGGTTTTAATGGAGTTAATTTGACTGAATGGATGCAAATGTGCTTTATTTATGGATGACAAAACAAGCCTTAGAGCATCGACTATGGAGTTATCGCATATGCTTAGCATCAAAAATCCTTTAACTATCGAGCCAGCAATTCATTTTTTTTCTGAGAAGGTATTTATACGCAAACAAATTCTGAAGATTAATTGGATTCTAATGAAGACTGCTGCATAAAATGTTGTTGTTTAATCAGATTTTTTTCTTTTTTTTTATTACAGAAAACCATTCATCTGCTTTACTTAAATTTTTTTTCCTCCTGAGCTTTAATATTTAAAAATAAATGTATGGATTTTCAACTGTCGTATATTTTATTTTTCATCATACAGTTTATTAACAGCAATTTTGTGATTCCTTAGAGTTTTTTTCAGCAGAGATTTAGATGAAAGAATGAAAATTAGAATGTAATTTATATATTTTTTTTGCATTTAAATGTAATCTTCATGCAGATCTGAATGAATAGTGTCTCCAAGACGATGAAGTCTGTAATTATTAAAGAATGTAGAAATGTGGAGAGAAATAGGACACTTTCTGGATGATGGGCACAATATGGTATAATCATTGGAAAAGGCTGTTCTGACTGTAATTATAAAATCCTGGCTTGTTAACTCCTTCATTTCAGTGCCGATTATCGTGGTAAGCAAATGTGATTCATCGTAATATGAATGATATTAATCTCTCAATGCAGTGTTATATTATGCACATTTTTCAGTGTTAGACTTTCATTTGTTTAATTTCACCCATCTCCACCCTTCATTTATCATTCATTTTTATTTTATATATTTTTTTTTTCTGACTATAAAAATCTCTGCTGTTCTCCCAGCTATATTCCTGAAGCCTATCACAGAAACCTGGTTGCATTAAGCTGAAACACAAAGACACTGTACGAATAATGAATCCTCATTTGCATCAACATTTGTATTCAGATTTGCCAGGCTATAAACTTGGCAGATCAAGCAGAATATTAAACAGGTACTCCCATAGTAAATTGTAGTTCTTGCAATTGTTGAGTCGGGTGGTGTATCAGTTGTGGCAGGTAAAGTGTCATGACTACTTTATTAAGCTATTGGTTCTCTCTCCTTACAGTGCATGATGTCAGTCTAGGTCAGAATGAGACAGCAAAACGCCAGTTTGAGGCATCCTGTGACATGTGACTAAGCACAGTCTGATGCTGTTTAGGAAATAACATGATGTGAAAAATTTCTCTATCGCTATGGAAACCCTGGAATAAAATGCTGAGCAACCGTATTCTATTTATTTACTACAGTGCAAAAGAACAACTTCTACTTATCCAAAGATAATAAGCGATATGTTAAATATTAAATATGACTACAAACAATATGCAAACACACACTGATTTCCCTGAGCAGGTAGTGAAAAAAATAAGAATATAAAAATAAAATAAAAAATCTAACTCACACCAATTGCTTTCTTGTCTATCAAATACCTGTATTCACATTATAGTCTGTATGTTAAAGTGATTATATTTTCTGAAAACAAATGACAGCAATCTATAATATCTTTGATCCCTCTCTGGATACACTACTTATTCTTGGAAATCCCCTGTATAAATGTCACAGTGTTATATAGATATATCTTATAGATCCATGATAATAAGTTTAAAATTATTTTTGAAATGTTTTACAGTAAATATCACATGCCACATTCCTAAAGAAATGCAAGTGTTTTTGTGGTTCATTTGTTTCTCTATATTAAATATTGTTCATATAACATAATTTCTTTTAAATATCTCCAACCATTTTCCTAGTCATATTGTAATATACCATATTCTCAACATGTCCTCTAATAAAATGTCTCTGTAGATACTATTGAGTTAATTTGCTGCTGCACGGTATATCCCAGTCAAACAGTAAAGCTCCAAGTCTTTGTGGATCACTGCTTTAATTATAAATGCCAACATATTCTGCAGCGCTGTCCAATACGTAATCACAAAATCCACATTTAGCATAGAAGAAAAAAAGTGATAGGGGGCCCAGCTCAAACGAGCTTGCTGATACATATTAATAACCATTAGATGGCTGTTGTGATTAGAATTCAATTTAACAGCCAAATGGATATTGAACATCTAATAAATAAATATTTTATAAAGGTTCGCTCCATGTATACAGTCGCTGAAGGCAGATGATCCAATGGTTAAATTTTCTGAATGCACATTTTAATATGTTTGTGTTGACTTTTTAGTAATAAGCATCCATAGTTTGGTTCTGAAGAAGCATATATATTTAGAAACTACTGTATAGCGTTTTCTGAAATGCAAACAGTTCACTTGGTACAATCACATATTCTGAAGCATTTATGTGATAACTGGCGTACTAAAAGCCACTAATGTTAGTGATTACTGACTATGGATTTGTTTAATATTATCCAGGTATATGACATGTTTTGTCATTATGTATCGCTAAGAAAACTACTAGACATTCATATGCATATACACTTTGTCAATATATGTAAGCCATTCTATAGATAACTGCTTATTTTGCATGTAGCAAGGTTTCTACTTCATTTCCCCAAGTGAGTTATTTACAGGCAGTATACATAAGCTAAGTGACCGAGATGCAGATAATTATGCCATTAGTTCCCCATCTGATTTACAGGAACAGTGGGTTGTTTATAAAAAAAAAAAATCAGTTGTCACACTCAAGTGGTTAGTTTAGTATAATTCCCAACTGGTAGGTATATATTTCTTGGAAGCAACATCAATAATTGCAAATCACGTCCAACAGAGCTATAAATAAATATGTGAATAATAAAAAAAAAAAATCCTCACTGAGTGCAAAGTTTTGTGTTCACACTAAATTAATGATACTATACTGCGCAAAACAAATAAGTCATTATAAGGGATTTGATGGAATATGGGTTATACATTAGAAATTCTGATCTAACATGATGAGTAACAAATACTAAGTCTGTTTCCCCACGTATAGAACAAATCACTTAGCAGTTATTCTTTATCTGTTTTGGCAAGTTTACTTTTATCATTCCCCTATATCACTTGGGGTTCAATAGCTAAAATCAGTGTTTTAGAGAAAGTTGAATTTGACTGTTAATGGGAAACATGCCAATTCACATTTTCTATAATCTGCCTAGCCAGGCCTCTTTTTCATGACAACCTTTTCTATTAGTTTATTTTATTTTAAACATGGGTGTTACCGTTTTCTACTCTTAGAGTTAAATGTAATCTAATTTTACAGCATAAGGAAACATATTTAATAATTCCTTAACTCCACAGTGGATGATGTTACCTGTTCCTTCTTTCTCTGTAACTTTATGTGTTTTCTAATAATTCAATTTAAAAGGAAACGTTTCTCCATAATAAGATAGATAGATAGATAGATAGATAGATAGATAGATAGAATAAATAGATAGTTGAATGTTTAAATGCCTGTTTGCCGTTAAGTTGGAATAAACATTTATGTTCCTTTTGTACAAGACCTGAGAGCACCCATACTTTTTTTTTAGTATTGTGGATTGTATGCTGGCTAATTTGGAGCAACTGGGCATGAGATCTTGAAATATGTAAGGTTGAGAATGAGTGCCATTGCCTTTCTGGATTATATATAAAATGATGTTTCTATATGTAGATATAACTAAAATTATAGATTATATATTGTATATAATCTTAATAAGCAGACCATGTTTTAGAATGCCATACTGCATGGATGGTGACATCACCTCTGTGCAGTCTGGAGATTCTAATCAGGGAGATATATATCCTGCTATTCTGGACATAAGTGGAAGTTGCACTCCCAAGTAGTACCTTCTGCCATTGTAATGACGACAGCTGAAATAGCTGTTGTCTGGGACTAAATGTCCCACTAATCTTAGGCAAAACTGTAACATGTGGGTCCCATAGCTGTCTTTACAGTAATATCTTCTACTTAATTGTGAATTGTCACTTCCCTGGAATAGAATCACTTATAACTTGTGTTAGATGTTCCATTATCTTTTAAATTTAAGTTAAAGATTAAGCAAAATACATCAAAATGCAGGTGAGACAAGGCAAAAGCAGGGCAATTATTGCTAATGTAAAATGGAATCACTGTTTAATTTCTCCTCTTCTCCATACGCTTTCTCTAAGCAGACTTCCAGATGCAAAAACAAACCTATAATAATCATTGACATAAGATGAGGTGCCCTGTTGCTGGATACATATTTGTGGATATTTTTTTTATTTAACTTTTCACACCTTGCAAATGCATATTTGTTAACTGTAGAGATAAGAAAACAACAGTACAAATGCTAGGACTTGACAGTATAACCTTTAATCTCTACACTACCCTAACATACTACACTACACATTAACCTACACATTACCATAACACACTACACTATACTAAACATTGACCCTTATATTACCCCAACACTACATTGTCACCAAACCCTAACCTCTACACTAACCATTAACCTCTACACTAACATATCACTAACCTAAATATAGCATGCAATATAAAAAATACCTAATGGTTAGGTGTGTATTGAGGGAAAATAATTGCATGGTTTCTGGAAATATTTATAAACCACTTAATCTTTGGTCCAGTGATCTATTATGTTGTCTTCAGAATTAAAGATAGCATTATATGATTCACTGCATCCCACACACTCTATCTCTCTCAGTATATATATATATATATATATATATATATATATATTAAATGTACAGAGAACATTTAAAGCACATATAGTGCACTTTTCTAATGCCGAGTTGCTGCCACAATAGAGCTATTATACACCAAAAAATACCAAAGAAGTGAACTCTCGTAGAATTTTTTAAGTTAAAAAAATTAAAAATGTTTATTTGTGCATCATTGATGTTTCGGACTTGAACATCTTGAGAAAGGACCATGTTCAGTTCTGAAATGTTGACGATGCACAAATAAAAGTTTTTTTTATTTTTTCAACCTTTAAAAGTCCTACAAGTGCCCACTTCTTTGGTATTTTTGTGGAAATATATATGCACACATATATATATTATATAGAAATGTATTACAACATATTAGAAATATATGATCTAGTCAAACAGTTTAAGATAAATACAACATAATGTGCTAGTAATTGTGTGAACATTGAGGTCCTCACATAGATTTAAATAAAACTGCAGATGATGACGGTGGCGCACACCAACTAAGAATATGCACACCTGTGGGCACTATGTGACTGGTTTATGGTGTTCTAAATGCAAATATGAAGTCTTAAAAACTTAGGTGACAAAAGAAACATCTCCTACCAAAATGAAATTGTGTAAAGTCACCAGTTTTTACAGTTTTTTAAAATTACTAATTTCAGTGGAACTGGTAGTTGTTGTGTTAAAATCAATTTTTTTAAATAAAAACAGCAAACTAAATAGCAATAAACACACCAAATTTTTGGAGGATTTATTTTTAAGAACAGGTCTAAACTGCCAGAGATCTAAAAAAAGCAATTTCTGCTGTTTATACAAGTTGGGAGGTGAAATCCAATATGGCAATAACATTTATGTTTACAAATGACAAAACAAATAAAAAAATAAAAGAATGATATATATAAACTAAAGATGTGTAAGTTGATTATAGAGCATGTTATTGTTACCGTATATGGGCAGTAAGAGTTTTATTTCATAGATTATATTGTGATTGTATAGATCACTATCATCACCAATATTCTACATGAACCTGCTATCCTCCATGCAAAATATTAGTTAAGAACTCAGACCAGTTATAACTCACAATCCAAAATGAAATAAAAAATGTGTGCCATTTAAAAAAAAATAAAAAATATGTATAATATTGAGAGGTATTCTACAGGTGTTTGTGTGTTAACACAAAACAACTTTTTGTATAATTCACATATTTATAAAGTATAATCTTGCATCCAGATATGCAATTTGCTAATGAATAAAATATATTATTTACAGTAGTTATATTAATAATAAGTATAGTGCTTATAGTGATTACATTCTGTAATTGTGTGTAACAAAATATGGTTCTACATAAGTTTACAAAATTTGAACTATAACATTTTATAGTTTCTAGTAAAGAAAGATTTTGAGGTCTTTGCTCTTATGAAATTACATTTGAATCAGAATTCTACCCATCTGTTCAAGTATATCCATAAAGGTATGAATTGAGACCAATTTGATCCTTACTTGTTTAGTGAGTTGAAAATGTCAAGTAAAATAGACAGTTGGATTAAGTTTTCATTAACTAATGAGCACAATTACTAAAATGAAAATGAGTTAGTCATTGAAGCTGGTGTAGATTGGTTGTTTCTGAACAACCAAATAATGAAACAACTCACCACATTGGGTAAACAGTTAAGAAATAAAATAAAGTAAATGGCATTGAAAAAAGTAGATTAAAATCAATTTTGATCTCCAATTCCCACTAAACCAAAAGGCAGCTATGGTAAAAGAAAATTAAAAAAGTGTCTTCACTCCTTGTTAGATAACACACATTGCCCTAGAATTCCTCACCCCCACCCGGTATGGTAGAGGTGTAAATAATGCGTGGAAGGCACACAGAAACCCTAAGGATTGTTTACTAATCTTCATGATGAATATGTTAGACCAGAGGGGGGCTCAGAAGGTAGATCCCTATATGTTGTATATCTTTGGAATGCTTTTAGAATGACAAAAGCATCATGGAAGCTGTCGTTTTAAAACATCTTGTGATCTACCTTTTGGGCATCCCTGTCTTAGACCACGTCCTATCCATAAGGGGTTGGAGTGAGAGTAATATATATATATGGGTGCATTAGGTCCATATTCCAACTATAGTGTCCATAAAATCTCCTAGATAACAATTCCAGCGAGATAGCCACCTACCGAGACTTATCATGTTCATATTTCCCAAAGGGGTTGCCCAGTTTGTTTGGAACTAATAGCTTTTAACCTCTCAGTATCTAACATAGCTAACATTTTCAAAAATAAGTAATACATTTTCTTTCTTTTCAGCATTTGGTTGTATTTTGCAGACAAATATGTGCAAATTGTACAAGAGTAATTCTAAAGAATTGATAACACAATAAACATTTACTTAATGGTTCAGCATATCTATTGGGCACGTTCCTCGAGTTTGGTCATTGTTCCTTATTTCTCAAGAGGTTTCCTTTAAGGCAATGTTGTTAAATCTAGATTTCAATAAAATTGTTATGTTAAGAAGCTTAGACAGCTCAAAGAATTATTAATGGAAAATGGTACAATTACAATGGTAATGGAATATTTATCTTTGCAAGACACATTAAAACAAATCAGAGAGTGGTTCTGTCATACTTAATTGCACTAATATTGCCCATTGGTCTAAAATGCATCTGGTTTATACAGATTGCTGTAAACAGTGGGATAATATCTCAATAATTGAATCTTAGAGATATGAAGAATTTCAGTATATATAAAAAACCTGATTTAAAATCAGGAGTTTCTTATAAGCAGGTACAAATGCAGTCATAATTATTGTTTTTGTTTTTGTTTGTTTTTTAACCAAAATGTAGAATATATTTATAGTAGAAATAACAAATAAATATATGTATTAGAAAAAGCTAATCAAATTTTATTTCTACTATGAATAGTTATATATATTGTGTTTGATTATGTACAGATTTATAATATTTAGAGAAATCAAAATGAGTGGCATATCAATATTGGCAATCATTTGTGAATAATACTGTAAAATACAAGAATAAATTAATGTAAATATATAACTGAATTGAAAACCAATAGCCACGAAAAGACAGATTAGGAAAAGAAAATACAAATTCTCACAACTCACTGCTTAATAAATATGCTCCAGCATAGTTATTTGCTCCAATCTCAGCCTTGTGTTATATCATTACTAACCTTTTACACTATAACTTTCCCAAGAGCCTCCTTTTACACGTAATGGTGCAATGGGAACAAAATTAAACCAGAGGTATTGGAGCAAAGCCAGTTGCTAATGAGTTTGAACTGTTCCTTTAACTTGTTCATAAAACAATCTTCCACTTAGCTATTGAACTGTAAATATTTGTGAAATCCATGTTGTTTAAGAGACTAAGGATTGCAGCACTTTCCCCTTGTTTGCTTGGTTTTTTTTTTGCTTTGTGGTTAATCTAAAGACAAATTTTAATGTAAATGAAATTCTATATTTCAACAGCTTCTCATTGATTATGAGGTCCTTGTTTCTAGTTGATGCTCACGGAAAACAGGCAAGCAATTATCCAGCCCTTTGCATGGTCTTGAGAAGAATCATTAAATATACCCATCCTGCTAGCGAAATCATCAGGATTATTCTGGTTGGTTTATATTTATAAAACTAACACCCATTAATTCTAATATGTATATTATTTGAATTAATTTTCCAGTATGTTAGTATTAAAATAATAATAATGATTTATTAAAACAAACACAGCTTTTTTGGATATTCCTATAATTACCTTTATCATTTATGTTGCTTACATTGTTTACTATTGTTAGTTGTTTTGAACTTCTTGAGAGATCTGGCTCTATGGTAACAGAGTAACTTTTCTTTTTTTTTCCAGGAGACAATATAAGTCCTACTTGTGCAATAAAAAGATTGATAAATGCTGAGAAGCCAGTATATAAATGTGTATCTCTTCAAACCCAATGAGTCCCTCCAGAGTAGTTTATAGTATAGCCATATAACCTAAGCCATACTAATCATTTCACGATTTTCAATCTCTAGTTCTCTTTTTCTTTTTCTGTCTCTCCTTCTAACCTATTCTCTCTCTCTCTCTTTATATATCGGTCTCTTTCACAGCTTTCCCCTTGCTCAATATTTTAACAATATCCCTTTTTATCACAACATAGCTCTTGCTAATATATTTGTATTGTTTAACTGGTTGAGTTTAAAGTGGGTGTGAGTTATTGAAATGGTTGTCAATTAGTTGATTTGAAACTGGATTACAATTTACTGCACATGTTAACAATGTATAATATCTAGCAATATTTATTTCTTGTAACTTCCCAACCTCTAACATGCTTATATTCTAGCAAAGAGATGTGCGATTATTCTGTAGTTGGAACAGTAAAAACCACGGTCCAAAACAGCTTTGGGAGTCGGGATAGTATGTATATATTTGTAATGCTTCCATTTTGGTGTCTATTCACTAATTATGACTTTTCAACCAATGTTAGCATGAATGCATAAACTCAAGAATAAGTAAGTACTCAGAATTATTTTAAAGTATACAAACTCAGTTTTAAAAAAATGTGCAAAATGTAAATACAGGTTATTCTGACTGATTTTATTTGCAGGTAAAAGAGACACTAATATTTAATAATCACTGTGTGTGGTGTAAAGTATAGAAAATACATCAGGATGTCCTGTTTATTTTGGGATCTTGAGGTCTCTGTAACTCTTTATTAAATCACAGACTTACTAGGTGTGAGAAGTGGAGAACATTTGTTAGGAGCATCTTTGATACAAGGTCTAGGGTACCTCTAGTCAGTTTTCTTCTGGTTCCCACCTAGCATGCATGGTTTCAGGGATACAGAGTTTGGCTGGTGGGTGTCTATTTCATAGTTCAGTTAAGATCCTAATAATTTATTCATTGCTTTATTTGTTTAACTAATACATTTATCATTTTTTCTTAACTTGCTTTACATATAGGATGATATACCCTCAACCAACTATGTTGATCTGACTGTATTTAAATATTCTATAAAAAAAGGTTAAAAAAAATAATCTAACTTTTGTAAAGAGATGTTACAGAACTTCAAATATAAATATGACTATTTTAGCTTTAATTTCACAATGAATCATTTCACAACATACCTCCATTGGTTGTCATTGGTTTACTTTAAACTGTGGAATTTCACTAATTGGCATTATTTGAAACCCAACTTTGTCTTAACAATATTAAGCAACTAGTCACAAAACAGCATTTGAATAAAAAAATGTCACTTTTATAGATTTCCCCTCCATGCTTTTCCAATGGCCTTACTCTAAAATGAAGGGGTGTTGCAGGAAGAATTGCAATAAGTACACAACTATTTACTCGTATAACTTTTACATTTATTTTGAACTTACTTTATATAACCATAATTTATTTTAACTGTTATTAAACACTTCTTGCTGGCAATCGTGTATACGCAATTGCCAGGGTCTGCATGCATAATCCGTAATCATACATACACGATTAGAATCATTAGAAATGAAATTCATTCATTGCAAATTAATTTAATTTGCAATAATTATGCTGATAGTAGAGCCTGTGCTACCTTTCAAGAGACCCCAAACTGCAAAAAGTTAAGCAAGTGGGGGCTCTACTAAAATTACATTTTAGAAAAGAGTGGGGAGGCTGAACATGGGAATACAGTCTCCCCACATACAATCTAGCCCCCCACACACTCACCCTGTCACGTCACCCACCCCCCACACATACATACAGTCACCCTGTCCCATCACCCCCAAACCTACATATAAACATCCTGTCACATGAACCCTCACACACACATATACAGATATGCTGTCAGATCACTCTCCCTCAAATACACATAAAAACACCCTGTCACATCAACCCCAAACACAAACATGCAGTCACCCTGTCACATCACCACACCTTGCTACACACACACTCACCATGACACCACTCCACAGACAGTCACACTTATACTCACACAATCATCCCTCACACATACAACATTTCCCCACCATAGACACAATGCACACAGCAAGATCACAAACTACCACCCCATACACACAACATACTGCAAGCAGCTCCCTCCAAACATACGCTCATAGACACAGAGATACACAGACACAGATATGCATTGCATACACAGTCATGGATACACATACATACACTTCCAGACATATATACGCTGCACAAACAGGTACCGATACACACTGCCAGACACACACTGTTAATGTATGTGTGTCATTGTGTGTCTCTGTACATTAGTGTGTTTGTTTGTGTATGTGCGTGTATTGAGTGTATATATGTGCACGTATCAAAGTGTACATTTACAACTCTGTTTTCCTAACTGCAACCTCATTAATTAGTAAATTAGTTTTATTTTAAGTTTTTCTGTCCAGACATAACTTTTGTTTTTGCTTCCATTAAATAATGCACTATTTTATTTAGGCATACTGAAATGAAAAAACACATTTAAACATTACTTTCCAGAGCACCCAATTAACTTGGATTCTAGGGGTGTTTTTTTCTGCAAACCACTTAGTAGTGAAGGAGTTAACACTTTCAGCTGAAATTATAGTAAGAAAGCAATAAATATTGCAGGTAATGAAAATAATGTTATTTAGAATCAATATAACAAAACACATGGTTTATATTATTTAAATATATAAAAAAATGGCCTGGGGAGAAATGTGCTATTTATCCTCTCTAGAGCAACTCCATCTCCAAAAACACAAATATGTAGCTTGCATTGGACTATATTTTTGTAACCTATTCTAGTTTTCTAGCACTTCATGTTGTCCAGTTGTTATTGCTTCCATTTTAGTATTGCTAAAAAAAATCAGTATAAGTATTTTGTGTTTCCCTCGTGACCTTCTCTGCTTAGAACATCAGCTCTGGCAAAACCTGAATCCATCAGGTCAGGGCTATATTTACTAAAGGACAAATGGAAAAAAAAATGTTAAGGAAATATAGTCAGGAATACCTGTGCAGCTAACATGAATGTTTACAAAATAACTGGCTTCAAAAAGAACAACTATGCCCCGCGAGGCAAAAGCAATCCTTAATGGAAAGCTTTGGGCTTCTGCATTAACTAACTCACAACCGTGCCAACATACTCCGAAAAATACACAGAACGTGGAAGCCATTTCAGCTTTTTAAGAAAGAAATACAGATTATATAAAGTTCGATACGGACGGTTGTTTTCAACAGTTATCTAACCTCAATAAGAAAATCAAATGGCTAGGTATATGTATGATATTAATTAAATGTAATAGAAATAAAAGAAGGGAGGGGGAGAGTATTAGTGAAGGTCGAAAGGAGAGAAGGGGGAATAGAATGCACTCAACATACAATTGATATGTTTCTACTTCAGCTTGTAGAATGTTGGGCATGATAGGGTTAACAAAATCTCCATAACCTTGGTTTTGAGATTATGGCAATTTACTACTTAGTGAATATATTACATGGCATGTTCTATACCTAATAACACTTTCAGTGCATGAAGCTGCTACATTCCTCTGTAGGTTTGTTTTATCAAAACTACTTAGTTTTCGTAAAATGAAATTGAATTACAAAAATTGACAATGTGTTAAAATTCTGCCAAATTGCCATAATAACAGCTTGACTATTTTGGCTTCAGTTTTACAATTTGGGTTTCAATTCTATGGTTAGTGAAAACACCCCTAAATATACCCCTAAGAATGATAGGGGTATATTTATAAAAAATGTAATGACAATCTGCAAATAGTGTTAAAACAAGTAGAAAAGTATCTGTATCAAATTGCATTACATTTGATTATTTGTGGCTTAAATTAACAATAAAAAAAAAACATTATTGGAGTCATCATACACTATAGTCAGGTCCATAAATATTGGGACATCAACACAATTCTAATCTTTTTTGGCTCTATACACCAACACAATGGGTTTGAAATGAAACAAACAAGATGTGCTTTAACTGCAAACTTTCAGCTTTAATTTGAGGGTATTTACATTTAAATCAGGTGAACGGTGTAGGAATTACAACAGTTTGTATATGTGCCTCCCACTTTTTAAGGGACCAAACGTAATGGGGCAGATTAACAGTCATAAATCAAACTTTCACTTTTTAATACATGGTTGCAATTCCTTTGCAGTCAATTACAGCCTGAAGTCTGGAACACATAGACATCATCAGACGCTGGGTTTCATCCCTGGTGATGCTCTGCCAGGCCTCTACTGCAACTGTCTTCAGTTCCTGCTTGTTCTTGGGGCATTTTCCCTTCAGTTTTGTCTTCATCAAGTGAAATGCATGCTCAATCGGATTCAGGTCAGGTGATTGACTTGGCCATTGCATAACATTCCACTTCTTTCCCTTAAAAAACTCTTTGGTTGCTTTTGCAGTATGCTTCAGGTCATTGTCCATCTGCACTGTGAAGCGCTGTCCAATGAGTTCTGAAGCATTTGGCTGAATATGAGCAGATAATATTGCCCGAAACACTTCAGAATTGATCCTGCTGCTTTTGTCAGCAGTCACATCATCAATAAATACAAGAGAACCAGTTCCATTGGCAGCCATACATGCCCACGCCATGACACTACCACCACCATGCTTCACTGATGAGGTGATATGTTTGGATCATGAGCAGTTCCTTTCCTTCTCCATACTCTTCTCTTCCCATCCCTCTGGTACAAGTTGATCTTGGTCTCATCTATCCATAGGATGTTGTTCCAGAACTGTGAAGGTTTATTTAGATGTTGTTTGGCAAACTCTAATCTGGCCTTCCTGTTTTTGAGGCTCACCAATGGTTTACATCTTGTGGTGAACCCTCTGTATTAACTCTGGTGAAGTCTTCTCTTGATTGTTGACTTTGACACACATACACCTACCTCCTGGAGAGTGTTCTTGATCTGGTCAACTGTTGTGAACAGTGTTTTCTTCACCAGAGAAAGAATTATTCGGTCATCCACCAAAGTTGTTTTCCGTGGTCTTCCGGGTCTTTTAGTGTTGCTGAGCCCACCGGTGCGTTCTTTCTTTTTAAGGATGTTCCAAACAGTTGATTTGGCCACACCTAATGTTTTTTGCTATCTCTCTGATGGGTTTGTTTTGTTTTTTCAGCCTAATGATGGCTTGCTTCACTGATAGTGACAGCTCTTTGGATCTCATATTGAGAGTTGACAGCAACAGATTCCAAATGCAAATAGCACACTTGAAATGAACTCTGGACCTTTTATCTG